ATAACCCGATCTTTTTTAAGATGTCGAGCGTGTATTGCGGCTGAAGGAAAACAGTCTGAGCATTTGCTGTAAAGGTAAATCATCATCAGCAACATTTTGACGCCCACTGTTGTGCAAAAAGTTATCTTTAAGGGTCCTTGTGCGTTTTCATAATCGCTGTTTAATTAGGAAATTTTGAAAAATTTTCATCAGTTTTTCTTCAAATAAAAATTGCGCATAAGTTAACGAGTAATCTTCTAAGTGTTATACCATTTTGGAATCGTTATTAAATGCGCGAACTTTTAAGGTTACTTGCCAAACTCTCGTAGTACATTTTTTTCCAGTACAGAAAGTTAAAGTTGAGCAAAGTTTTACTTTGGAATACTTGGTTGGGAAATAAGTGGCAATTTTTCCTGAACGAGAAAAGTTGGCAGTAAGGTTGAGACACCAGTTTGAAGATGCATTATTCATCATTACATTGTAAAAATAAAATCCAAAAAAAGTTAATATTTGTAGTAACAGGAGTTGACAGACTGCCGTAGGGTGTGAAATTTCTATATCTTTTTCAAATACCTATAATTTTCAAAACACATACATAAAATTTTTTTAAATATTTTTCTGATAGCTGTTATGACTTTGCCTATCACCCGGTTTCGGCTTGACGTCGACTTCTTAGACACCCTGTATATTATATATACGAGTATATATATATATATAAAACTATAATTAAAATAAATAATAGTTTAAAAGAACTAAAAAAACACGCTTTGATATATATCCTAACAAAAAAGTAGAAAATAGTAGTAGTAGATGGTCGAACAACCAATCATAGTTAATGACCTCAAAATAAAATTATAATAAAATTTAATTCATCAACAGAATAATTCAATTGAGAGTAAAAAGCGTGGGGTGCTTGACAGTTATGAAAATATAGTAAAATGCATTAGAGTTGAACTAAATTTGTTGCTCGTTGGTTTCCGTCGAATTCTGTCATAGTCCAGTCATTATTGGTAACGGTATCGATCGAAATGCTGAACCTGCGCCCGAATTAGATATGTTTTAGTGGTAAATATAGCTCTTCCAGACATACTCGTATTATATCTATTAATGAATAATTTTTGATAGCCTTAAAAACAATCCTAGCGAAAAATAACATTTTCTTCAGTATCTACAATTGCTTACTCAGTATCGAAAATGTTGTGCATTAAAGAGCGAATGTGTATCCCAAACACTACCAGTAGACCGACAAATGAAATGCGAAAGACTTTCGCGGCCATCATCCAATATTATTTGGTTGGTTTTTGGGTTGTTAGGCAGTCGTAAAACATATCTGCTAGACGGTTCGCTAACACGACTGGTTTGCATCTTCAGGAGATGTTCACAGTTTGGAGTCCGGTGAGCTAGTCCGACTAAATGTTACATTATTGGTAAAAACTTGAATATTTGTAATCCTATACTATACAAGCGTCCCACCCCTCCCTCGTTGGATACTCCACAATAAACTTGCGGTCGAAGCGATATTTAGGGGTAATACCATCACCCCTGCTTAGAAGGACGGGGTCCTCCCTTTACAATTCGACTAAGATGGCAGTATGCCCCTTGACAGGATTCAAGAAAGCCCAGCTGCCCTGACTCCACAGTCGATGAGCGACTACTCTCGCTTCACCGCGGATCACCAGATCCAACGGTGGGAGATCCAACAGAGCTTCCATTGCGCTCAATGGCGTTGTTCGCACTGCGCTTGTAATGCTAATACATGCCAAACGCTGAATTTTATTGAGTTTGGCCTTAGTTGTCTCAGTTCTAATGCAAGGCCACCAGACCAGGGAGCCGTACAAGAGAGATGGACATATTATCGTCGTGTAAAGCCAGTATACCGCTGGGGGCATACTCTTCAGGACAGAGAACAAGGTCGAGGTTTTGGCTGATGCCATGGAACGACAGTTCTCTCCCAACTATGATCTCGATAATGACCTCGACGAGAAGCATCACATCGTAAGATCCGTCAGGAGATATTTTAGGGTCAACCGCATCAGTGATCCCGACGCCGCCATTAGTGATTCTTCCTCAGAAGATTCTTTTTCGGAAGATTCTTCAGTCTGAAGATTTGCACAGCACATCAGCTGCTTCTCCCGAGATCCCGCATTGCACACCAGCAGAGCTTCAAGGTAATATTAAAGACCTCAAGGTGCGTAAAGCGCCTGGGGAGTATCAAATCACTAATAGAGCGCTGACGCTGCTTTCACGAAAGTCCTTGACCATGCTAAGGACCCAGTATTTTCCATCGGCGTGAAAGACTGCGAATTTCTCGTCAGATCACCATGTGATTCCTGACGCGCAATTTGGATATCGGTCTGAGCATAGGACGGAGTTACAGGCGGTTAGGCTTGTGGAGCAAGTAACCAGAGGCTTCACCCTTAACTAAAGTACTGGCATCTTGCTTCTGGATGCGTCGAAGGCATTTACATTCAAAATGGCTTTCCATTTTGGCTCCTAAAACGTAATACTGGTATATCATTTTATTTACCAAACAAACGCACCTCCTACACAATTCTCATTAACTTAACGTCTACCTGCTGCAGTTCACTTTTCCCCGTATTTCAAATCACCTTTCCGAAACCCTTGAAACTTTCTCAAAGATAATAACTATTTTCGAACTGCTAAGGCTGGAATGGATATGTATCGAACATCTGCGACTTCAATACAAATTACTGTGAAGTTGTAAGTACTCTTTGACTGCGAGAAATTACGATTTTCTCAGCTGAAAAGTATCTTTGAATAAAAGCTGTAAAAGTTCTGGTCGACAAAATGGAATCGTTTCTAACCAGAGCTTTTACCGTTATGAAATATTCATTGGATTCTTTTGTGTTGAACAGAACGAGGCGTGGAATGCATGGAAAGTATCTTGTTTTTAAATGCAATTTGTCGCAGAAACAGCTGGGCGGTTCGTCATGCAATATTTAAGTCCAGCCCATTACATCCGTCTTTGAAGTTCCATGGCATCCTATACCGTTCATTTGCGTGAAAAGAATATGTTTCTGCTTTTTGCTGCGAGAAAGGTGAGAAGAGATTTACACAGTGTAACTTTTTGCTGGAAATACCACATAGAATATGCAGTTATCCTTGCTCTAAGAAACTTAAAATACGTAATGAATAAAAGACGTTTTTGTAGAAAAATTTCGGAGGTGCTAACGACGAATCAAAAGAGAGTAACTTCGAAACTACACGCATGCGCAGACCGCGCGCTAGCTCTGTCTCTCTCACTCTCCTACAGAGGATCTATAAAAGAATTTATCAATCCTGGCGGTCCTGATGAGAATAATGGAAAACTGTTTTCAAATTATTGCCTTGTCATTGGTCCTTGATATGTGTGCGAAGTTTCAAATTAATCAAACTTCTGGAAATTGGTGAAAATTATGCTCAAAGATTCCGGTAGATATATACATATATATACTAAGTGACATATAAATCCGAACACCCAGTTTAAATAGTTTTATTTTAATAAAATTTTGTATAAGTACGTAATGAAGCATAATAAGTAAATGATAAAAAGTTCAAAATGATTGCACTGCTTTAAATCCCTTTGACCTTTAATAATGTGTGGATGCACCCTGATGTGCTACGCATTCTCCAACGCGCCTAGGCATGCTTCTGATCAGGTGGTCAATGTCCTCCTGTGGTATCTCATTCCAGGCAACCACCAACTCCTCTCGAAGTGTTTCTAGAGCCTGAGGAGGACGTTGCAAATTGAGCAATCTCGTACCCATCATATCCCACACGTGCTCAATTGGGGATAAGTCGGGAGATCTTGGTGGGCATGGTAAAAATGTGACATCATTATGTCGAAAGAAGTCTATTGTGACTCTTGCAACATGTGGTCGGGCATTATCTTGTTGGAAAGTTGGATCTGCCAGGGTGTCAAGATAGGGTAAAAGATGGGGTTCTAGAACTTTGTGGATATAACGCTGCGTGTTCATGTTACCTCTGATGATGATTAAAGGTGACCTGGAACCATAAGCTATAGCACCCCAAACCATAACTCCAACAGTGTGATGAACATGTCTTTCAACAAAAAACTGTGGATTCCTCCTTTCACCACGTCGCCTTCTAACCCTGGCACGACCATCGTGCATGCCTAAACAAAATCGAGACTCGTCACTAAAGACAATACTGTTCCATTCCTGATCCCAGAGTGACCGTTGTCTGCACCACTCAAGGCGATTACGTCGGTGTTCTCGAGTTAAAGGGAGGACCCAGTGTGGCCGGTATGAAAACAAGCCAAAACTTCTTATTCGTCGGTAAACACTTCGCATGCTAATAGGTCTTCCGTGTTCTGCAAACCATTCATTTGCAATGGACGTGGTACTGGAGAAACGGTCCCTTAAGGCCAATAATCTTAGGCGGCGATCTTCACGGTCTGTTGTTCTACGGCGGCGTCCAGTGCCCCTTGCTCTTTGCGTACGGCCTTCTCGAAGCCATGCCTGACAACACCTAACCACAGTGTCTACACTTCTTTGCTCTCTAACTGCAATTGCCCGAAAAGAAAGTCCAGCTTCCCGAAGTCCCACTATACTGCCCCTATCAAACTCACTAAGTTGACGAAATCGTACAGATCTCCGTACTCTAGGCATCGTAACCGATCGTAAAGGATGTCAAGAACCAAAATCCGCCAACGTTGATTCTTTACTGCGGCTGAAATATTCATTTTTAGAGCGTTAGTGAATTAAAAAAAAGCAGTATAAAAACCGGAATGTCCAACTGATAAGGATGAAAATTTTTTCACTTGTTATTTACAGTAAGATAAGTACATTCACCAACTTTTATTAAAATAAAACCATTTAAACTGGGTGTTCGGATTTATATGTCACTTAGTATACATACAGGCCAAGCTTATAAAAGCGTGTTGATAAACGACTTGAAACTAAAAAAATCACTCATTTGATCTTCCTTACCATGCGAATGTTATATAGCAAACGTATAGAATTCTTAGACAAGAAAATAATAACTTGCTTTTTTTTCAGAGTCGGCAGGTATTCCCTGCGTCGTTTACAACAAAACCTATGAACATGGCGAGACATTTACTTTAGACTGTCGGACACAATGCGCATGCCAGGTAGGTGACTATAACATGTGACTATTATGCCCTCTAGCGGTCATGAAAAAAGCTAATCTACACAAATCTCATTTAGCTATATTCCTACTGTTTATAAAGAATCATGACTGAGTCCTTGAGAAAATCTTCTAGAATGTACTGGTAGTGTTCTTTTAGCAATGATAGTTTCCAGATCTACTGATCAAATTCTCTATTGATCAGTTATAGCTATTATCTCAGAGATGGCGTATAGGATATTTCAATCTTGTATAGAATGCTTGCATTTAGTAGAGATGATAAGGTAAAGTACGAACGCGGATATATATATATATATATCGACAAAATTCAAGCAATGAGACCTCTTTATACTTTATTAGTATCTAGCTTTCAATGGACTTTGTCATCTTCATCAGGAGCTGCAATAACATTGAGAAGAAATAGCAACTATTGTGCAAAATGATTTTGAATTACTTACATTAGTATGTGAGACTGTTGCTAGATGTTGTTAACGGTTAGGTTGAGGGAAACATTTAGTAGCCTGGTGAAAGCTGGATACATGGTACATTCGTTAAAATTAGTATAAAATACACACACCTGTATGTCACAAGCACATCAAAACGGATGAAAAATATTTTGAACGAAAGTTAAAATTATTACATGTTATATCGTGAAACAACCTGATGCTGCACAAAATGGTGTGGCACAGGATCATAAGTAGGATGAAGCATTTGACAGATGACAGAAGGCTGGTAGTGTCAGTGTCGATGGATGGAACGAAAATTTGTGAAAATGTGTGCTATGTTGCCAAATCACTTCAGATGGTGTGATTTATCAAGATATGTTGTTTATATATATATATATATATATATATAAATATATATATAAGTATATGAGTATATATATATGAGTATATATATACAGGGTGGCGCGGAAACGAAACAGACGCATTTACTAGCAGCTCAGTTTTTTTTCGAGGGGGACACAAGTTTGGCAAAAAAATCACGTTAACACGTGCAGCCCCCTGGGCGGGGGTGACACCACCCCCAAAATCTTAAACGCAAAGGGGGGTCGAGTGATACCTTATTTTAAAGGTCTTTCAATTCCCTTTATAATGATGTAAAATACATGAGCTTCAATTCAGTTGTTTTGAAGATTTATTGATTTAAAGCTTAAAGTAGACTTTAATGGGTACATCAGATTAGTTTGTACTACTTTCAGAAGAAATTTGACTAAAAGAATTTACTTAATAAGTAAATGCTTTTCTTCACTACGCCCATGGTTGGTTTATCATTTTGTTGTTGAAAATAGCTATTGGAGCGTTTTTTGTGGTAAAAAGTTATTTCTTGAAGAAAGATAAGGAAATATCTCGTACTTATTTTAAATAGGAATTTAGTACATAGTTTGCGATCGATTTGACCAAACTTTGTTGCTAAAATAACTTGTAACGCTTTGTTACATAAATTAACCGTTGTATATTCCGCAGCAGAAAGAGTTGAAATTATCGAAATGTTTTTCGGAAATAATCAGTGCGCTAATAGAACAGCAGAAATATTTAATGAGCGACATAAAAACAATAACGTGCATCGAAAATATCTTCTACAACTTGGGTCAGTCGCCAATAAAAAACGCAACATTGAAAATCCCATAAGGAACGAAGCAATAGAAGTTGGAGTTTTAGGGCAAGTTTATGTAGATCCTACGTCAAGTACCCGCAAATTGGAGACTGAGTGTGGTGTTAGTCGACGTACTGTCCAACGGATTCTAAAAGCCCATAGTTTTCATCCGTATAAAATTCACCTGGTACAAGAACTTAATGAAGACGATTTTGATCGAACTACTGAACTGAAGTACATTTATTTTATATCATTATAAAGGGAATTGAAAGACCTTTAAAATAAGGTATCACTCGACCCCCCTTTCCATTTAAGGTTTTGGGGATGGTGTCACCCCCGCTTAGGGGGCTGCACGTAACGTAACGTAATTTTTTGCCAAACTTGTGTCCCCCTCGAAAACAAAATCGACGGGTCTGAGCGTTTTTCAAAAAAAAACTGCGCTGCCAGTAAATGCGTCTGTTTCGTTTTCGATGCGCCACCCTGTATATAAATTCAAATCGTAATGCTGGAGCTAACTCGAGGCAACCTTTTGTGTGGCATTTACTAACAAGTGTACTATTGTGGAAATCACCATAAATAAATATTTTCCTGAGTGGTTTCCCGCAGTTTCGCTAACAAATGCAAAACAAATTACCGGGAAAATTTCAATCCCGTACTCTACAGGCTGTAGGTGTTCACGTCATCCGAAGAGCGTATCTCGCGAAAACTTCTCATCCAAATATTTAAGTGGCGTCAGGAATGCGGCAAGTTGGTACGTATGTCAAAACTTTCCGACTGTGTTGTTTAGTGTGAACTCCGGATGTAGAGAAAAACTCCCGCGAGAACCGACCGCAGACCCTATGTAAACGATAAAATATGCAGTGTGAAAGAAGTAGCTGGCTTTTAAATTTTAGATTACACGTTACTTTTCTCGGAAATCGGAAGTCACTCTGAACGTATACACCGAAGAAGGTGCGGTCCCGAGGTATCCATAGAGCAACACGCTTGACTTATGTCAGTGTCAAGCGCCATTTTTTTCCGGATGCAGCGTGGTTGCCAGGTTGTGCGCGAATGCCGCATACGACGTTGTCGGCTCTTTGCATAAATCAGAGACTGTTGTATCGTTTTGTAAATGTCTGATGGCACATGGAAGATTTTATTTTATTCAACATATTTTTGTTGTTTTGACATGAATAGCTTGAAGATGAATGTTTCCAATAGTAAATTCATTTTTCTTTACTTAATGTTTTGACATTGACAGTTCGGTAGTGATAGTTCAAAGTTGTCAAGTCCCTAATGGAAAACCCGATAGTTATAGTTTAAAATAGTAAAATTTTTGCAGAATGGCACTTACGGCTGCTCGTCGTTGTGTCCACAAGAATACATATCACCTCGTGGATCGTGTCAGAACCCAAGGCTCGTGGAAATTCCAGGACAATGCTGTAGAGAGTGGATGTGCGACAGCCAAACAGGTAAAATTGCATTATATGAGAAAACATTTAATAATTTGTTTGCATTCCATACATACAGGGTGTCCCAGAATCCGACGCAACCGGGATAGGCTAATTCATAATACGAGCTCCTTCCCACTTCAGTTAGACCACTTCAAGATTTGTACCAAAATATTCCTTTATAAACTAAACATGAGGAAACTTTACTTCTAAAACAATTTATTTTCTCAAAAACATTTTAGATACACTCTAGTCGTAAAAAATACTTATTTGAACTATAACTAATAGAACATCTGAACAAATAAACAATGTGCGAATAAATACGCGAAGTTAACAAAGCAACAATTGAAAGATTACAATTGGGTAACATCACCTTTATTTTTTATTACGGCTGAAATTCTTTGGGGCATAGGGTTAACCAAGTTTTGGTAAAAATTTGGTGTACAAAAATTGCCAAATATTTGTTTGTATCCACATTTCCATCAATAAAATGAAGTTTTCCTACTCCTTTTGATAACATACTGCCCCAGACCATAATGGATGCTGGAAATTTCACTTTTCTCTTCAGACAGTTAACATGGAATGCTTCATTTTTTTGCGAATAACGCTACTGCGACTGTCACCAACACAAACTTCGAATCGGGCCTCATCACTTCATTGTATTGCACACCATTGTTGAGGTGTCCATTGTCTATGTTCTTTAGCCCATCTGAGCCGATTTTTCTTTTGCAGTGGAGTTAATAGTGACTTTTCTTTGGCCTATAAACAAGTAGTGCAACTTTGGGGATTCTAGTTCACTTTTTTTTATAAGAAAACTTACCTTGCAAGTCCTAAATCCCAGTTTGTGGGCCTCTCTATGAGTTTTGGACCTCGAAATTCTCCTTCCAACAGCGTCACTCCACAGAGCACTTAATTGTAAATAATTGACATGTCTTTATTTGGCACGATTATTCTTTTTAATGTTCTCCGGTCGGCATTTGTGATATTACTTTTTTTTCAGATATCGTGGCTTAACATTAACTGAACCAGTTACGTTATATCTTCTAACAATATTTCTCATACTGTACCGCGGTAAGTCTAACAAAGTTGCAATTTCTGAGTGTGATTTCCCAGAATTAAAAAATTTAATTATCAGTAACCGAATTTTCTCACTAATAACCTTTCCTCTGCCCATTTTGAAAACCTTAACTACCCAAAACTATTTTAAACGTATTCTGGCAGCTGTGATTAATATAAACAATTGTCATGGCTTTTATTTTTCACAGCCACCTATGCGTTATAGACTTATTTTGCATTGAAATGAAAATAGGTTGATATGCTGTAATTGCAACATGTGTTATTTTTATGCTGCAAATTTGATTAGGGAGTGATACAGTTGTTGTTTTCTACTAAATATTATCAAAATATTCATTGTTAACATTTTAAACCTATAAAACACTGCTACATTTTTATTATTTGTGTTTGATAAGAAAAAAAACTAAGATTTCAATAGTTGGCCAACTGAAGTGGGAAGGGGCTCGTAGTTATCAGATAGATATAAAATACTAAGTCGTGCACAACAATTGAAATTTGTAATAATGGGAACTGAAAGATCAACAGAGGGTGTGGAATTTCCGATTTTTTAAATTTTCTTGAAGCCTACAATTTGAAAAGCACACGACTGAGATTTTTTTATATATTTCTGATAACTATCGTGACTTGGCCTATCCCCCGTTTCCGGCTTGACGTCGACTACAGGGATACTTTGTACACAATCATTATATTAATAGTATCATATATACTGACTGACAAATAAAGGTGAACACCTACTTATGTTTATCAGAATTCAAGAATTTTTTATAAATCGATTTATCTTGCCATGAACAACAAGTGATAAAATGGTCAGGTATTATATTATTGATATCATTGAAATCTTAGTCCTAGTGATTGACTGCACGAACCACAGTCTCAAAGCCAATACATAAAATAATCTAAATCGCCCAGTGATTACGAAAATCCGAGTATGGTCGGTGGTAGGGATACGAGAAACCCATCTCCTAGTGACTGCACGAGCATCATTCTTCATCTATAAAAAATATCTACTGCATTTTTTCAGCAGAGCAGCCGTCATCTTGCCAGCCTTCATTCTCACGGTGGTCCATCTGTAGCAGCGATTGCGGCGCTGGACTGTCATCCAGAAGATCGAACCTAAACGCTCGATGTACGACGGATACGGAAACGAGGTTATGTCAGACGAAGAGGTGTAGCGATAAGGACCAGTTAGGAGAGAAACAGAAACACCATCATCTCAGGGTAAGATCACTACGCGAGAGTATTGTGATGAGGTATTATGTAGAACATCTAAAAAACGCAAAAAAAAAAACGACAAAATGTTATCTTACAGACTACAGTATATTCAGATAAGAGATAGACCGGACATAAACAAGACCACGTGATCATCGAACGCTGTAACATTCGGCAGGGACGTATTAAGAGTCACGCAGCACATATTTTAGATCGTAGATGCTGCTTTGCGTAACTTTGTAGTAAATTAGCACAATTCGATGTGTATACGATTGGTGATGGTTATAGGATCATGTGGGGGTGGGGTAAGAAATATATAATGATGTAAATATACATAAGGGTTTCAAAATTTTCGCTTCGATTTCCAGCTTCGGATGCCGCCTGATGTTTGGTGAAATACTGTCGAATATAATCTCAAAATGGCGTTTAAATTAGCCTAAATTAAAAATAATCGTATATCTCTTAAAATTGCTTTTAGAATATTGATTAGTATATTTTTTGATTTCTAGGTAAATATGTAACCAAATTAAAACGTTCAAAAGGTAAAAAAATGTGCATGGTTGAACATTGTCAGAAAGTAGATTCTTGAATCGGTTTTGCCAAAATGGGTTCAAAAATGTCAATAATTAATTAAAAAATACAGTAGCTTTATAATTACTTATAACTTACCGAATTTGATGAACGACATCTTTTATTGGAAAGATGAGCTTGATGAGCTTTCATCATCGCTACTGCCTGAAGCACCAACGTCAATAATGAATGGCTCGACTTGTTCCTCTAAAATATTGTCCAGTTCCCACATTCTCTTTTCAACTTTGTCTTTCACGTGCTTAATACAGTTTTGCGATTTTTGCGCTGTTATTAATTCCAGTGCTTCTTTGAAAAGTCCTTTGAGGTCACAAAATTTAAAAGTTGTATTGTGCTTAGCTATATAATTTTTAACCTCTGCCCATATGAGCTCAATGGGATTGAGCTCGCAATGGTATGGAGGTAAACGGAGCACAGTTTTATTTTGACTTGCTGCCATTTCGTCAATGGCGTATTTTTGATATTCCGCCTTGTGATCCTTGACAATTCTTAATAATTGTACTTTCAGCATTGCTTCTTCAAAGTTGATATTTTTCGAGCGGAGCCAATTTTGAACATCAACTTTCCTTGAAGCCGTTGTTGGGACCTTCTCCATTCTTCGAGAATGATAAGGCGCATTATCCAACACAATTACTGCGTTTTCCTCTAAGTTCGGTAAAATTTTTGAAAACCACTGTTCAAACGATTCGCCATTCATTTCCTCGTGGTAATCTCCAGTTTTCTTAGACTCAAAGCACCACAGACCGTCAACAACAAATCCATCCTCACTGCCAATATGGCAGATAATGAGCCTTTTCCCTTTACCTGAAAATCGAAGTACTAACTGGTGTAGATTTATTTCAATAAGCGAACCTTTTTCAAATGTTTTCATCACATTCAGCGAAAAAACATTGAGACATGAGTATCAGATTGCTATAATTGGGATTATTTAGTCATATTGAAAGAAAGAATATTGAACGTCGTATGATTACTGAGCGCTTCACAATTTAATTTAAAGTTATAAACCTTTAAAAAATGAATGATCAGGAACCTGAAATACGCGCAAATATTAATATTAACAAATTATAACTTTATAAAGCTTAAAGTATGAATTAAAATGATTAGAAATATTAGGAACGGTACACAATATAAAACTTAGTAACTTTTTTTAAGTTTATAATATTCGACATATTTTAAGATTATATTAAAAAATTATTGAAATATCGAAAACACATAAAAACATGGCTTAAAAAAGTTCTAACAAATGAAAATGACAATAAAACATCCACGCATTTTATCGAAAGTTATAAAAGTTTTGTTACTTGTAATATGTTTTATCTGCCCCCTGGAATTAATGTTTAGAACCTTGTTCCCAAGGTTTGAAAAACATCCGATTGTTGTCTATTACTCGTATTTACCTGCTGGATTTTTTAATCCGGTGGACAGTCCATCTAGAAAAGCCCTCCTGGATGAAGTTACAGAATCATCAACCCATACTTTACTTGTAGTGTGTCCTGCGTTTACCCACGTTTCATCAAGGTAATAAATCTTCCTGTTTCGATTTCTATATTTCCCAATTTTTGTTAAATAATCCCTCCTCCATAGCACAATTTCTTCTCTATCCAGTAGTAAACTATTACGACCCCGTTTTTTCCATTTGAAATTTAAATGCTTCAGTAACGCATGGAAAGTAGATCGTTTGAAATTTGGCAACGTTGTATCTCCATTTACCTCCTGCAGTACTTTATCTATAGTAGGTATTTCATTCCTAAAGAAGAATTCATGCACTTTCCTCCTAATCGCATGCTTATCAGCTTCATCCAAGGATTTAACAATACTTTTGCGATGTTTACTGGTCATTGGCTCAGAAAAGGTGTGATTTTTTGTATTGTCTTAACACATTAAACACTGATGCGCGACACACCCCAACTTTGTGAGAAACCTTCACAACAATTTCTTTGATGGTTGATGCCTCGTTCTCCTCGCGCTCGATCTTATATATATTCAAAATGACCTCTTTCATTTCTGCACTCAGGTGTCTTTCTTTAGAGCGTTTCCTAGGTGGACTACAGGAGTTTACAACTTCATCGGCAGTAACTGTACTACTGGGCATTTTGCGCAAGCAGTTGATAACAATAACAATCAATAACAAGGTATAACAATAACAACGACAAACTCAACAACTTAATAAGATAACAAACGAAAACGTCCAAAGAAATATCAAATTGCAATGATGCACACGACATACGTAACACGTCTGAACCTGAATGTGACTCTGCCTTGATACGACTGCTCTGCCGCTCGGCATAGGCATTTAATTGCGAATTGACCAATGAGGGCTCCTGTTTTACGTCGAGACGGCGGCGTTAGCGTGAAAATCACCCGAACCTTTTGTTTACATCCGGTCTATCTCTTATCTGAATATACTGTAGGTAGTTTTTAGTGTGCATTCCACGTTTGCTTGCTATGATCGCTGTGAGAGTCATGAAAAGCGTCTATGGAGGAATGACTCAACGACACGTCACGCTCAAGCATGCATTGTTGGTTGCAAAAAGCCAAGTAGTGTTTATCTCTGAGAAGATTTGAAAGAAAGAAAGTTGGTTGGGTAACCAGATTCTCTTCTTGGTCTGATTCCTCGAAGGTCCATGTAATACAAGCCACTGATGTCATAATTTGATAACTCTTTATTAGTTGAGATTAACTTAAAATGCTTATACTAATAGCGGACAGAATTTGCTTAGGCGTACTTACTGCTCGGTGTTACAAAATCGACGCTCTCTTATTACATTGTGATACAGCTCCACATCATCAAATTATATAGGATGTAAACGTTATGATAGTCATTATTTAAATGGGTGATAAAGGGAGTTTAAGGAAGCAGTGTAAATAAATATGGAGTTTGTTATTTTCTTCTTACTCTAGGTCCATTTATTATTGCAGCCGCATTATAAATTTTTTCACGAAGTTGTGCTTCAGTTGTTATTGGACCAGCCCCATAAACCATCCCTTTAAGTTCTCCCCAATACCAAAAATCCATCGGATTGAGGTCAGGAGATCTTGCTGGCCATTTTCGAGGATCAAGAGCATTTCGACCGATACAGCGATTTGGATAATGTTCATTCAAATACTGAATGACGTCTCTAAAAATGTGTGGTGGTGCCGTTTCAATAATGTCTACCATAACGTTTACACCCTGTATAAACAGAAATCAATTCTCAAATGACTACCAACGTATCCGCTAGATTGCTGCACCTACCCTGTTCTAGTTCGCGGACAAACAAGTTCAATCGAACGGCTGCTGTTTACATCTGGGATTTTTATAAAAAAAAATGGTGATTCCCAGCTAAAAAATAGCTACAAAGCTGGAGGAGTGCGGGCGGTGGTTTTCCTCAAAGCCTTCCAGCGCTGAGGAGGTTAAAATCCCATAAAGATGGAGGTAGAGTAATAATAATAATAATATTTATTCACTCAATGTACAAAGATAACAAACAATATGAGTAAATAAATATAAAATCAAAACAGGCCCAATAGAAGGCATCGCCTGTACATGGATCAATAATTTAAGTTGAAACTGTACAATGCAAACGACAAAAAAGGACAAAAATTAGCTACAGTAGATTATGTATTTAGTTGATGTTCGTATTTATGAGTTTATGAATTTCAGTCCTAGATATAGAATGTAGCCATTTTTTTAAATTTCTTTTGAAACAATTTCCGAAACGTAAATCTTTTAAGTCTTTAGGTATAATTTCATAAAATTTAGGCGCTAAATAGAGATATGATCGCTGCATTATAGATTTATGCGGTTGAGGAAGTACTGTGCCACGAATTTTGTACCTGGTATAATGATTATGTTTAATTTTTTGGTCGGTGTTTACAAATTTATGGTAGTGAGTGATACTGTGTAAGAAATAAAGCTGTCTTATATCATACATTCGAACATCTGCGTATAATTTTTCAGTGGGATAAAGTTTCGGTTTTTTAAATATCATTCTTAGAATACTTTTTTGAAAAACATCTAAATTATAGATATGTGAGGAACATGCAGCTCCCCATGCTAATATACCATATGTGAGATGAGGCTCAATCAGTGCATGGTATAATGTTCGAAGATATTTTTCCGTCAATATATTCCCAAGGTATTTAATTTTGTAGGATACAAATCTAACTTTCTTTAAAATATAATTGACATGGATGTCCCATCGTAAGTGAGGATCCAAGACCACTCCAAGGTATTTTATGTTGGGCACTCTATTAATTTGCATTTTTTGATCATTAATATTGAAGGAGAAATTTGTGTAATTTGGCAGATGTCTAGCATAAGATCCAAATGGTAAAAAATGTGTTTTAGAGTAGTTAATGCTTAATTTTCTACTGTTAAACCACCGAATAATTTTGATAAAATCATTTTCAATTACATTTTTCAGATCAGACCAGTCAGT